TGGGGGGGCAGCACGGGGGGGGGCTGATGGCCCCCTGCCCCCCCAGAGCCCCACTTCGTCCAGGCGCTGCCCTACGGCCCCTACGTCTACTTCTTCTTCAGGGAGGTTGCGGTGGAGCTCAGCGCCCTGGGCAAGGTGGGCACGGGGGCGCGGGGCCGTGGTGGCACGGGGGCACCTGGGTGCCCGTCCCCCTGGCATCAAGGCAGGGGAGACCCCCGTGCCCCTCACCGGGGCGTCCGGCCGGGTGCTGGTGCCCCCCAGGGTGCTGCTGCTTGCGGGTGCTCCTGGGTGCCGGCCCGTGGTGGCTGATGCCCGTGGGTGCCCCTGGGTGCTCACCCCATGTGCAGGTGCCCATGGGTGCCAGCCTGAGGTGCCAATGTCCCTGGCCGCCCGGGTGACAGCGCCGACACCCGTGGGTGCTGATGCTTGGGGGTCCCTGGGTGCTGATACCCATGGGTGCCCAGGTACTGATGCCCACTGGTCCCAGGGTGCTGACACCTGCGGGTCCCTGGGTGCTGACGCCGATGGGTGCCCATGTGCTGCCACCCATGGGTGCCCGTGTGCCAATGGCCGCGGGTCCCTGGGTGCTGATGCCCACGGGTGCCGGCGCAGGTGGTGGTGGCACGGGTGGCGCGGGTGTGCCGCAACGACCGGGGGGGCTCCCCGCGGGTGCTGGAGCGGCGCTGGACGTCCTTCCTGAAGGTGCGGCTGCAGTGTGCCGTCCCCGGGGACGCCGTCTTCTACTTTGACGTCCTGGAGGCGGTGACGCCCCCGCGGGCCCTGCACGGGCGCCCCGCTGTCCTCGCCCTCTTCGGCACCCAGCCCAACAGGCACGGCGGCGGGGGCATGGGGACATGGTGACGGGGGGACGTGGGTGGCCAAGGGGACGTGGGGCTGTAGGCACACAGGACAGGGGAGCGTGGTGTGGTGGGACGCGGGCAGGGACGTGGGGACGCGGGAGATGGGGACGTGGGGACACGGGAGATGGGGGCACAGGGACGGACTCACAGGGGGACATGGGGACACGGCGGGACAGGACACGGGGACACGGAGGGGCCCTGGGCAAACCAAGGCCGAGCTGGCAGCCCCAGGAGGGGACAGGGGGGTCCCCAGCGCCGGTGCCACCCCCTGCCACTGCCGCAGCATCCCCGGCTCCGCCGTCTGCGCCTTCTACCTGGCGGACGTGGAGCGGGCGTTCGAGGGACCCTTCGCCGAGCCCCGTGGTGCTGCTGGCACCTGGACCCCGGTGCCCGAGGACAGGG